CAGTGGTGGGATGGAGTAGACAAGGTTTGCAGGGATGGGTGGTCACAGTGAAACAGCTAGGGCCCTCACCACACACCTGACCATCCTTGTGCAGATCTAACTTCTACTCTGGTTCTGCTCTACCAGCATCTAAAACATTGCCTTCACTTTGCTCTGGTGCCCAAAAGACCTTAGTAAACTCAAAGAATGTTGCTGCCCCTTACACTGAACTAGCTACATACCTTCTACAAATGCCAAAGGCAACTGTTTCCAAGAAACATCTTAAGTACAAATTAAAATTATTACAAGAAGGAAGCCAGCCGCATATCTGAACTCAGTATTTCCCACAGACAATAATAATCACCATACATACAAGTCAAATGAATATTTTGTTTGTTTTGAGATAGGGTCTCACTATGTAGCCCTGGATAGCCTGAACTCCCAGGGATCTGCCTGCCTCTGCCTCCCAAGTGCTGGGACTAAAAGCGTTTGCCACCACACCTGGCCTATGAATAGATTTTTAATAGGGAGATAAGATGAATAACCATTTACATTTGATTTGCCATGAGATGAACAATTTTAAGACTTTTGTATACATTAATTCATTTGGGTCATCATGAAAAGTCTATGAAGTAGAAGTAATCATTCTCATTTACAAACAAGGAAAATAGGATATGGAGTGTTTAAGTAACTGTCTAAGGTCATTCAGAAAATTTAGGATTGGGCAAAGAGCAAATGTGGGGATCTGGCTCTGGAATCTAATTGTTACATTGTGTTGATGGTGAGGAGATGAGTTATCAAAAAAAAAAAAAAGAACCATTTTTATAAGCAGGTAAGAGTGGCAAAGTGAGAGAAAGAGGAAGAATGAAACTGGTTTTTGTCTGGGAAATGATTTTCATTATTTTTTATTATAAAATATCACAGATAATTGTGGGGGTACTTCCTATACCCTTAGAAGATAACTTCCGCCATTACTGTATGTAGCAAGGTCTACAGTTAAACTTGGGAAAGAAATGGCAGGAAAGGAAGTGGACCACCTTCTACACAGCAATCACAAACCTTAGCTTTCCTTAGGAAGTCTCACACCTGGTGAGACATGTAACAATGGCTCCCATCCAATAGCATTAAGATACAAAAATCACATGGTGCAATGCATAAATGAAAGCATTATGACAGTACGTGGACTCGTAAAACGAGGAGATAGAAGAGTGTTGCTTTGTGGTGCAAAGACTGAGCTGCTGATCTGTCACTTGAGTGAGAAAGTAGAATGTTCATATATGAGATGACCTCATCTTTTCTCTCTGGACCACAGCACCTACCAGCACAGTTCCCATATGGCTAGAAGGTGTCCCATCAGGAAAAAGACACCTGGAAGTGCCCTGACACACAGCAGGAATATGCTGAGTGACCATGAGGCAAGTCAATACTCACCTGGTTTGAGACACTTAGATGGACCTCAATGACTCACCAGCCCAAGAATTACATGGTGTGTCACAGCTAGACAGGACTCAAAGACCCCAGGACTAATATTCTGAAGAATGGGGAACCCTCCATCTCCCCAGTCACACTCTGCCATCCCACCTTGTGTATCCAAAGCACTTACATTCCAGGTTATCACTCAAAGAACATGTGTTCATATCATGCAGAGTGCTCTTGAATAAGACCCGCTATTCCTCCCACTGAATCCCAGAGCCATAGCATAGCCTAAACCAGTATGAGTGCAAAAACCTAGTTGCTCCATCTCAGTCTGTTAGCTCAAACTTGAGGCTCCCACCAATTTTTCATATATGGTATCTGATTCTTAAAAATAACAAAAGGTATAATAAAAAAAACAACATGAATTTAGGACAGATCTGACGCTCCCCTAAGCCCTCACCTACTGAGTCAGCGACAGCAATGGATGGTCTACTATAACACTGCTAGCTGAAAACTCCTTAAGCCAACCAAACCAACCCCCCCCCCAAAAAAAACCTGTTTGGAACCTAGACCTGATGCAGGATGCAGAGCTTTATGCTGCTGCTAAATGCCTCTTCCTCTCCCAAGAACAAGAGTGTAGCCAGGGGTAGTGGCACATGTCTTTAATCTCATCCATCCCAGCACTTGAGAGGCAGAGGTGGGCAGATTAAGACCAGCCTGGTCTACATAGCTAGTTCCAGGCCAGCTGGGGGTATAGGGGGAGCCCTCCCTCCAAAAAAAAAGAAGGAAAAGAAAAGAAAAATAAACGAGTTTAACAAAGGTCACAACTGCTCTTTACATCACTGTGTCACCCACTTCACCCTTCAGAGTGCATGGAATGTACTAGGTGCCATTTACTTATCTTTAAATGGACGAAGAGCTTTATTTATTTATTTTTTAAAGACTCCATCATTCATCTTGTTCCTTGCCTCTGAATTAATTTAGACTCTTGAAATTCTAAATGCAGCTGATTTCACTGTAAGAGACCTGAGAGAAACACCTTGGTTTTTATAGTGAGAAGGAGTTCACCAAGACTCACTTGGGACCAGACTTTAAACTTCTTCAGTTTGTTCAGGAAACTTCACTAAAGGTTTCCTTGGGGACCGTTTGAGGATCATCTTGCAATTTCCACCCACTCCAGCTCTGTGTTCTTGTCCTTTAACCTCTTTCTTCAAGACACCTCAGACCTAATCTGATTTGTACTCTTGCCATTTACAGGCTGAGCACTACAGATTTTGGAGCATTTTGAATTTTGATTTACAGATATAAATTAGGATGTTTGGGTTACAGAGATTGGATTTGGAAGTTAAGGGTACAAATACTCCAAATCCCAAACCTCCAAAATCTAAGATTCCTGGTCCAAAGATTTTTGGATAAAGAATACAATTTGTAAGACAGTCTTGGCTAGAAAACTTCATGCTCCCACATAGGGGCACCATTACAATGGCTCTGTTGGGATGGGGGCGAGGCAGGGGGAGATGGGTCCTCCGCAGGGTGGAGGGGGGCAGTCCTAACATGAGTTCATTCAGCTGGTCAGAATGCTAAGGACTCTGTGTCTAGAGGCCTGTCCCCAGACCCAGTACTGAGCATTGCACTCATAGCACTAGGCAAGTGTTTTACTTCAGGTAACAGCAGGAGAAAGGAGAGAACAGGAGACATTAGGCTAAAGTGCCAATTGGGGAGGCTTGATCTTTTTAGTACCCAAGAGTAACACAAGCTAGGTCTTTTCAGGCCAGAAAGAGTTAATTTTTCAGCAATTTTTGCAATCTTTCATTTTGCAATACACATTTGTCATCATACAAAGCCAATGTAAATATGAATGTACACAATGAAAGCCACATGTTTGAAAGATAGTCTTACAAACCAGAAAGCCAGAACAACCGTCAAGAAAGGGTAAGAGCTTGGCTTTCACTTGTTGAAATAAACATACTTGTTGGCAAAGGGCACTTATCTTTTGTGAGATGGTTACAGAGACATAAAATGCAAAAGTAATGAGAGAAACTACCTTAAACCACATCTGGCCTTCAGCAAATTAAGTACTGATGGTTCCTAGATATTTGTGCTCTCTCTCTCTCTCTCTCTCTCTCTCTCTCTCTCTCTCTCTCTCTCCTCTCTCCCTCCCTCCCTCTCTCCTTCCCTCTTCCTCTCCCTCTCCTTCCCATCTTCCCTAAGTTTTTATTAACATATTCAATTAGATTTGCCAGATCAGAAGTGCTATGCTCAGTTTCTCAGTAGGTCTCTGGCGGGTCTGAGGCTGGAGTTTTACTTGGGTGGGAAGACACGGTGTGCACTGAGTTCCTGACTCCAAGTTCAGTGTCCAGTTTCTTCCCCCCCTCCCTCCCTCTCTCTCTCCCTTCTCTCTCTCTCTCCTCTCTCCCTCCCTCCCTCTCTCCTTCCCTCTTCCTCTCCCTCTCCTTCCCATCTTCCCTAAGTTTTTATTAACATATTCAATTCCATACTTGGAAGCTACAATTCATTTTTATAAGTTAAATGTATGGAGTTTTAGTCTAATCTCAAACTCAAAGGGAAGAGCGCGAGGACAGTCCCGTGGTCATATTGGTGAGGTAAGAATGAGTCACAAAGGCACTGTCAGTCCACAAAACTGGTTTTGAATCTCAGTACATGAGGGATAATGGAATATAATTTAATCATAAAAAAGCCTGAACGTCATTCTTGATGCTATATCAATGTCAATAAAGCAAGTACTCAGAGAACTAAAGCATGCTGACAGAAAACTTTCTCTAATATTAAATTCAAGTGATCATCAAGAAATAAAATACAGTACCATTTCAATGGTAAACCTTTTGAGAAACACATGCTGGTTTTAAAGTGTCTGTTAGCCAGTTTTATAATGCCCAAATGTGAACAACTGGGAGAAATGCCAGGCACAGTTCACAAGGGAAGAAGAGCTAGAGTACATGTACCTTTAGCAAAGCCTAGAGACGTGGGCAGAGCACATCCCCAGGGAGCCAGTAGGAGAGGAAACACCTTCACATATGACCAATGTTTACATCCTTACCTTTGATTCTCTTATGGCATTCTTTTTCATTCTGAAAGAAAGGCTATTTTCATAGCAGTTTGGAATATCAGACTCCTCCCCATACTGAGGAAGATCTGTGATAATGAAATGGCAGGCAACAGGGTAGGAATGAGCTGTGAAGCATCTTCTACATTTGAAATGCCATAGACCTATCCTTTTTCTTTCTAGAGAAGGGATTTGGATTCTAGGGGCACCCAATTAATTTGTATTCATAATTTTGTTTCAGTAAAGTTAATATTGAAATAGTCTATAATCCCTTGGGGTTAGACGTATATAAATTGAAAAAGAATAATCTGGATTTTAAAACTTCTCACTAAGTATCCACTCCATAAATAACCCACACAGTGATCACTTACACTGGGTTTTCTTAGTTTGCGGTACAGGCTAATGCAGTTGATACAAACACAAGAACCTTCTAGCTAGAAGAGGAAATTTTTTTTTTTCAAATCCTAGACAAAGCTTTCTTGCCAATGGCCCACCCTCTTGTCCTTTCAGGTTCTAGACTAACACTGAACAGAATCCTCACCTGGAACTTCAGGAGAGAATCTTGCAGAGTGTCGAGATACAAAAAGTTTGAGTTCTTGGTCCAAGTTGCATTCAATCAGGTTTGTGTCCCATGATCGGATCCCTGTGGAGGAAAAGGAAGATAGTTGACAGGCTTCCAGTGAGTCATTTCAGAGTGCTTTGGAAAACAACCCTGCAGTTTTTCTCAGCCCTTTCCTGAAGAGCCCACAGGCTAGCAGTGGAGACCCACAAATAGGAAGGTTGGGAGGTCCCTCCGCTGGGCCACAAGGGGGGGGAATAACCAGCAGTCAGAATGTACTTCTGCCCTTCATAAAATGGAAATGCAGCATTGCTGGGAGAAAGGAAGAAAACAGTTATTAGGAAAATGACAGGCTGTCCTTGGGGAGGAAGAGAAAGGGCAAAAGAGGCCAGTTCTGGCTAAGGGGCTTTCTCAGGCTCTACTATTGGGTGGCAACTGTAGGATGCAAATGGGGAAGGTGGCTGCCATGTAAGCCCAGGACTCTGTTTTCCACATGATGTTTTTGTAGTGTTCCTGCATGGTTTCTTTCTTTTATCCATCCCATTTTTGACCTTGGTTTCTTAACCCCTGGATATCAACCTTGTGTGATCTTTGATAGGCAAGTGGATCTCTGGACTTGGCCCAGGCATCCTATCAGACATTTCTTTTATCTGATCAGCTCGGCAGGGAATGCTTTCATTCACAATTGTTAATTGTATTGAATTTTCTTATCCAGAAGCAAAAAAATGGGGCATCTTTGTTTTTATACTTTATAAAACAATGATGTAATTGCGGGCCATGAACTTCTTTACACTAGCCTGAAAAGGACAATCACAGACCAGAGGAACCCACAATCAAGAATTAGAAATGATGGTGGTTTCCGTTGTGGGCACCCTACCTTTACTCCCTTTACTCCACCCAGCTCCTCCTCATCCCAAAGGGGACGGCTCAGAGGGAAACCAAAGAGCATCAAGAGAAACCTGGACAGAAACCAGGGGAAGCTGTGGACCCCAGAACTCTAGACACTAGACAGTGGGGGGGGGCAGGGGGGGTATGCAGTCATGTACATACATGTGCATGTGTTTGTGTGTGTACCTATGCACATGTGCATGTTTGACTTTTCCCAAAAGACTTCTGATGGAGCCATTATGTAGCATCATGATTGTATTCTAGCATGAGAATCCTCAACTACAGGAACTAAGTTCTGAAACACCAAATAGTTATTCTCTACCTCCTGAGAGAGGCTTGAACCTTTCTAGGCGTGAGCTATCTTGAATATATATATATCTTGAATATATATGTATATATATATCTTTTTAAGGAGTCTGGAAACAGTTCACTGCACAAGTAAAATCTTCAAATTCTCTCTCTCTTTCTCTCTCTCTCTCTCTCTCTCTCTCTCTCTCATTTCTGAGACAGGGTCTTACTATATAGCCCAACCCTATCTGGAATTCACTATAGGCCAGGCTGGCCTGAAAATTATAATCTTCTTACCTCAGCTTCTAGATTGTTGTCACAAAGACCTTTTCAATCAGAGGAATATTTCCAAGTAGCTGTATACCCACTAAATAGAGGCAGGGTTTCTCATAGGAACAATAGGAAGAATTCAGGTAAGGAAGAGTTAACATTCCTAAGGAGAGGCTAAATTATAAGGGGGAATTTTATGAGTCTCCCTGGAAACATTAAATGGCCTCAGTTTGCATTTGTGCTAATGGAATATTTAAATTTTAACAAGAAAGTCATGTTGAGAGTTTGTGGGTCTTTTTAGTGCAGAAATGATAAATGGCTTCTTTTTGTTTCCCACAGAGCTTGACAGGTTGAGAGGTCTGAATTCATTAGAATATTTTACCTCAACATATACACTCTATACCAGCCTAGTGTGGAAAGCCATTGAGCTGCTGTCTGAGTAGCTTAATTGGAATTGTTGATGGAGCTCCACTTTGTCTTCTGGCTTTTCAAGCTGGGTCAATAAGTTAATAATGAGACATATGTATTTAAATTAAATTCATACTATTTTTCCATCTTTATTCTAAGTAATGTCTAAATTGTTCCATTATTTGAATGACTTCATCTGGGGTTACGCACACACTTGCTCTTACACTGTTTGTCATATTTCCTTGGCTTCAGTTGACTTGTCATGACAAGTAATGAAATGTTCACTTTATCTTCATTTATATATTTTACATTTGCAGTTTTGCAAAAGAAAAATGCTAAATGTCAAGAAATCCATTGAGTTAATTTTCAAATTAAACTAGTAGACAGCTGATACAAATAACTTCCAATTTTTAAACTCCCAATGAACATAAAAATTCAAGGTTCTCTTTCTAAGAGAGCAATTCCAGCCAAATTATTTCCTAATGATGCACAATCACTGCTAAGATTTAGGAAATGAAGATCACAATGGACTTGCTAGATACTTTACTTGGAAATGAATGTTTTGGTGCAACACCACTCTCTATAACAATTTTAGAAATAAAACACTTAGTAATTACTTGGTACCTTATATCAGATATTATTAGCAAAGGAAAACTATTTCTAAATGAAGATTCACTGAATTTAATAGGTTCCTATACCTCCATTTTGTGCCTAACTGGGAGCCAAAGGTGGAGCCCTGATATTGGTAAGACAGCAAATGTCTTGGTTGGTTTATCCCACATTCTTCCCCCAGACTCCATGGCAGGAGGAGATGCCCGGGTGTTGATAAAGAGATTCCAAAGAGGCTTTCAGAAGCAGATCATCCTTCCTGGTTTGTGATGGAAGCCGGGAGGGCAAGCTATATTCCTGACCCTTTTTCTGATGATCCTCCACTACCCCCAAGGACAGGCTCATTTGTGAGTCTTTGTGCATGCTATATAAGACGACTGAGCCCTTACTGGCTTATCCAGGGGCGAACAACTTTAGCAGCTAGCAGCTGGAGGTGGTAACCCTCCCCTTTTGAAATGCTTGAGCCAAAGGGACATCTGGCACTCCAGAAGTTCCTGGTTGCTCCAGGGTTCTGGCTCAGCCCTGGGAAGTGAACACTGTCCTTGTCTATCCTGGGGGGTAGAGGGAGTATCAGAGAATATTTTCTTCTTAGTTCTCTCACCCCATGTGGTAGTAGTGCACAAAGAAGCCCCAGCATGCACGTGACTTTTACTGGGCGGGGGGGCACACTCCTTTCAGAGCAAGTCTGAGTGAAGAAGGAAGAGGAGTCTAGTATCCTGGGTCTGGAGGCTAGATTGTGTCAGTCTCGCAGGCACATCGCAAGATTGTTTAATGAACTGACATTTTTTAAGGCACCTCTCCTTTAAAAGATAAAAGAGTGCACATTCCTAAAAGAAACAGCAGGTTGAAATAAGCACGAGAAAGGACCCGATGCATCACAGTCCTCTGTGATGGTTGCTTGGGCCTTTGACAAGTTGGTTTTCCTCAGTGGGCCTAATTTAATTGTTCCCTTTGAGAAACAGGCTTCTGAATATTTCTTGTAAATATCTAAATGGTTAGCCTGTAATCATAAGATTCTGTCTGCAAAATTACAATTAAAAAATGACGTGAATAGAAGCCTAAACCAAAGAAATAATTTAAAAGGAAATGCTAAGTTGCTTTTTGGGAAGAAGGTTTAATATTTTACCCTGGACCTGACCTTCAATTTGCTTTTGTTTTTCAAAGCCAGTGACTAGATGTTCGTCACATGTATGTAACATCAACTTGGCTGATAATCTTACATATGGACCTGATCCTCTCAAAGCAGTGATAGTAAATAATTCAGGTCTCAACATCTTACAACAGAACCAAACAAGAAGTGATTTATAATAATTTATTTCTAAATCTAAAAGTTAGAATGCTTTTGAAAAGTAAGCTCTTAGAGAAGCTTAACAGTGAATCATCAATTTAATGACCTTCCTTTTGGGGACTGGCTTGTGTTTCAGCCCCATCACAGAGCCCTTAGTGGGTAACACCAATTAGGCAGCACAAGCAGAAATCCATCTGCCTTCTGACTTTGAAAAGTGTGAAGACGAATATAATAAATTTCACACATCCTAGCATCTCTTTGAACTCCTACCATAGATGCTTTTCACTTTTTTTTCAGGTCAGAAGAAAATGAAAATGAAATGCCAAAGGTTCTTCATTTTCCTACCTACCATTTTAGATAGAACACATTCAGTAGTGATATCAGAATGGTACAGTGTAATCAGCTCGGTTTACATCTGAAAATCCAGGGTATGGATGTTGCACTTATCTAGCTTCTCATGGGCAAATCTTGTTGATTTCCAATGGGAATGTAAGAGACAATTACATTCTAGTAGTAACTGAAAACATCAAACTGACAGTATTCCTTATATGATTTAGTTCCTTTAAAAGAACAGCAAGAAACAATGAAAACTCATTGCACTAGGCTCTAGAATCAGTTTGTGAGGTACATATATATATATATAGTCTGGATAGTAAAATATATCTTAATATTATTGCTAAAAATAAGGACATCTGGTTAACTCCATGTTGGAGCCAAATTATGGATTGGCAAAGGAATTGCCAAGGATTGGCAAAGGAATTACCATCGGTTGATGGTAGTCACAGTGGTTTGGAATCAAGTCCTGTATAACCAGATCTATGGAGTAAAACCAGTAGGAGCAAACATTATTGTTTCAAGCTCTAGAAGAAATGTTCAACCTGAACACCATGCTTTTTGAAAACAGCCAATCGGGTAAGAATAACTATCTCTTTTCCTTGGTCTCAAGAAGAGTTAGCTTCTGGTGTGTTTCATGCCTATTGGTTTACTGCATCATCTACCATCCCTCTGCAGATATAGAGATGATTTTTTTTTTTTTTTTTTGGCTTTTCAGAGAGCCCTGGAATAATCAGAAGGCAAATGTGCAAGTCACCAGGGTCTCCAACTGTGTAGAGCCTCTGTTTGGACAGGAAAGGAAGAGGAAATAAGAACAAGTAACAGATGAGAAACTGCTTTTCCAGCTTGCATGCAGCGCACCATCAGAGCTAAACCCCCAGGAACAGCTTCATCTTGCTTCACACAACATAGCCTGCAGGCAGGTGCCACACCAGCTTGGCATCAGAGTGACCTCCGGGATCTGCCCACTCAAGCAGCAGCTGGTCATGGCAAGGAAACAGGGCCTACTCGCCCTGTTGCTAAGCCATCTCAGACTGTCTGAAAAGCTGGGGGAGTTTGCACTTGTCCCTGCAAAGCCCTACAGCGAGAGCTGCATCCAACACCCCAGGACCCAGGAGAGCAATCTCCGGAGGATCAGCAGCATCTGTTACCACCCTGGAGGAAATGGCTCTTCTCACACACTTGGTTGATTCTTACTGAGATCAATACAGCCATTTCAGAGCGCCAAGGAAACACCTGACCAAATTAGGGGATTCAGAAAAAATCAAGAAAGCATCATGATTGCAAAGTGAACACGGCGGTGGGTGTGGTGGGGTGGCTTCTGGGCTTCCAGTGATGTTTTTCTTATATGGATAACACAGGTGTGTTCACTTTGTGAAAATTCGGCGAACTGCTATAATTTACCCCTTCCTCTCTCTCTAATAGTAAACTAAGTATCTCTAATACTGAAATTAAATTTCATTTTTTGAAATGCCAGTAAGTCAAATCTGAATTTTAGCACTAAATGCTAGCAGTGTAAAAAGTGTAAAGCTAAGGAGAACATCACAGCAGTCTTTGCATCTATTTTCTCCTCCAACAGAGAGACTTGAATAAACCTGGAGGAGTGCAGAATGGAAAGGCTGATCAGCCGTGTAACAAAGGGGGATAATTATGGTCGGAAGGTGATGGCTGAGCACCATGCTTGCACCATGCTGTTGCCTACAAGTGGCTGACTGTACAAAGACAAGATCTGAAAACTGCTGGTTGAATCTCTCTCTGATGTTAGTTAGCCTGCCAGCACTAACATCAAGACCAGGTCAAGGCAGAGTGACACTGCAGTACCGGTTCTCCCGTCACTGCCTGACCTTGAGCCTGTCCCTCACTCCTCTTGCTTCTCTGGGTTCCCAGCCTCTAAACTGCGGGTGATGATTCCTCTCCTGGCACCACAATGCGTCATTATGAAAATTCTTTAGGTGGAAAAGCATCTCAGCGTATTATTTCTCAGCTATGCTACAGGGAAAAAATGATTTTTAAAAATCCAAAGTCATTCATTCCCACAATAGCCACACCCAGTGTCAGTACATGTGAATTTTTTCAAGGAGAAAATCGTGCAAATAAACTACTTTTGAGATCAAAGGCCTGCAGTTTGAAGATGAAGGATTGAGATGCTCGATAAAGCATTCTACTTCTGAAGTCTCTTATTCTTGATTTTTTTTTTTTTTGAATGAAAAATCATGACTGGCTTTCTGCTCACATTTTTTTTTTTTCCTTTTTAGCTGAAAGGGAAAATCCGTGCTTTAAAGTTAAACAAAAGAGCGGGGACTGCAATTCCAGTCCCCACCCTGCAGCCTTTTGTTCTCGGGACAAGTTTCCATTTCCAAATGCAGAGGCAGGTGACAAGCGTTTGTTTGTTTATTTATTTATTTATTCATCTAAACCAAAATCTTTTTCATGCATCTTTTATTTGAGAGGGAGCCGGGAAGGAGGGTTGCATGAACGCCCTTTGTCCGCCTCGGGCTGCCGTAGAGACCGCAGTGCGGACTGCACCACGCCCACCAGCTGGTGTCTCCCGACTGAAACGTTTCAGCACTACCGGGAGAGAATAGAGCGCGGGAGCTAGGGCTGCGCAGGGACCCAGCGACCTCTGCCAGGGCCGTAGGAACGGGAAGGGGCACAGGATAAGGCAGAAGCCAGAGCTGCGCACCTCGGGGCTGCGAGTGCAACAAAGCGAGGCAGAGGAAAGGTGGGCGCGATGCCTTTGGTGCAGGCTTTCTCCAGCCGGGGGCGCCGCAGTGCGGGGGCAGGTGCGGCCACCCAGCGCGGGCACTGCGGCAGGCCGGGTGGGGCTGGAGGGCTGGCCGTCGTCGCACGCCCTAGGCTGCGCCCATGGGGACCCTCTCAGCCCCGCCCAGGGTTCCTCGGGAACCGCTATTCTGCCTCTGCAGAGCGCGCTCCTGAGGCGTGCAGCAGCCCCGGACCTGGCCCTACCCTGCATGCCCCCCTCTTATTCAAGCTCCTATTTCTGAAGCTGGGACTTTTAAAGAAACCCACCCTGCAACTTAGCGTCCCATTGTCCTTTCCGAAAGCAGCAGCCAGAACCCCGGGGGCAGGAGAGAAGCGGGCTCGGTCTGGGAGCAGAGTACAGGCGGATTCCATCTCTAAGTCCAGGGGTGGGGGTAGCGGGCGTGGCCCTAGGACTAGCCTAGTCATTCCGAGGAAAGAAAGGATCGGGAAGTTTTAAGCCAGAAAAGACATCCTTGGGGTATGGGAGGGGGAGACCGAGGTGGCCAAGGTGAGGATGATTCCCACGCGGGCCCTGGCACATGGTGTTTCGACCCTAGGTCTGCGGGCAAGGGGAGAAGGGTGGTCCCAGCCTTTGGCTAAGGCGCAAGGGGAGCTGAACGCCGAGGTTTCCCCAGGTTCGCCCCACCCTTTCTCCGCCTGCGGTTGCGGTTTTATTATGGCCTCGGCTCCTCTGACACCTGCATTTCACAGAGCGCGCGAGTGGGAGATGGTGGCCAAGTTGGCAGTGGCCGCGGACCCAGTCCGATGTCCCATCCCTCAGGGTTAGTAGAGATTCTCTCTCTTGGTTTCAAATAGAATAATTCGGGAATTATCCCAGAAAAGAGTCCAGATCGAGTGTGGGAGGTGGCTGGGAGAAGCGTGGGTGCAGGGAGAGCTGAGACCAAGGTGGCCGTCGCGCCCTGGGTGGGGTCCTGTTGGCGCGAGTCCCCGCGCGCGTCCCTGGGGGATCGCGGGACTGCTTACCCAGCTCAATGTTGCCGATGGCACGCCTCAGGTGCTCCTCGGTCACCGTCTCTCCGACCACCACCAGCAAGTAGAACTTGCTGTCTAGAAAGCGGTGCGACAGGCTGGGCGAGGTGGACGCCGCCGGGTTGGCGATGCTGCCGGATGGCTCCGGCTCGGTGGCTTCCACCACCACGGTCGCCATCCTGACGGCCCTGCTGAAGCCTGGGCGAAGTGTTCCTCTGCCGCCGCTCCTCTGCTCTGCGGCAGGAGAAAGGATTATCTCCGAAGGTGCTGTCTCCGCTCCGCCCCTTGCGTCCCCCCTCCTCCGGGCGCGTCGCCTCCTCCTCCGCCCTCTCCCTGCGCGGCAGAGAGGAGCAGGGAGTGAGAGGGCGGGGAGGCGGCGCCGTTTATATGGAGACAAGGCAGGGAGCCAGGGAGGAGGAGGAGAAAGAGGAGGAAGAGGAAGAGGAGGAGGAGGAGGAAAAGACCACCAGGCACATCGTCGCGGGGTGGCTGCCTGGGCTCCTCCAGCCTTTGGCCCAAGGCTGATGTCATCTGCAGCAAATCATCTAGCCCGCGGCCCGGAAGCTGGAGGGACGAGGTGTGTGGACAATGGTCTGGGCAGGGCCAGGAGCTGAGTCTCTGGGGGACCCAAACGGCTGGACTGCAGGGCTGAAGCGGGTGGAGCCCGTACCATCACCTTTAGACACACACTCTCTGCCCACCCTAAACCCTCAACCCTCCGGTGCAGGATTGTGGGGATGACTTTCCATCTCAGAGGGAGAGTTATTTCTAGAGTTCCAAGTGCACAACGTCGGGCCTCTGTGTCCCACCCACCATAAAAACAAGAATCTGAGTAGTTGTGGCAGCTATAGTGGACGCTGGGTACCCCGCCCAAGAAGACTGGAACCTGTCGTTCTGACCTTGTGGATTTAGGATGACTTATTTGCAGATTTTTACCAACCACCTTCGCTTAAAGAATACTTTGCAAGACCTAAACCTAATTTTTTTCAGGCTTTGGACTCTAGTGTTCAAGGGCCAGTGATGAAAGAGTACTGACTTGTGGCACACACGGGAAATGAATGGGAAGATGCAGGCATATTATGGTTAGATACAGATTTCTTAATATGCTGAACAGATAGTATCAAGCAAAACAAAGAATAGAGAAGATACTGTCTCTGCTCAGCAGAATTGGTGGCTATAATGTGCTTTTCAGTTCTTTGGGGCATACTCAGGCAAAATAACTTCTTGTGACAATGATGTCTTTTAAGATTCATATAGCATTGGGAGTTTTTATTGCTTTTGTCTATATTTAGAAGAACCCATAATAATGTTCATAAACGCCAGCCATGCACAATAATTTCTCACAAATCTACTGAATACATCTCTGCCTTAGGACAGGAGGACAGGGCAAACATGATATCATCATAAAAAATGGGGGTCTGAGTTTTAGGAGAGGAAATTAGATGGAGATAAGAATAGTCAATATGCCTTTAATATTAGAGTGCTTATTAGTTTTAAAATATCTGCTGGAGGGGCTGGATATGTAGCTCTGACTGTAGAATGCTTGTCATAAAGCCCTGGGTTTCATCCCAGTACCACAAACACTGGGCATGGTAGTGCATACCTGTAATCCCAGCACTCAGTAGGTGGAGGCAGGAGGATCAGAAGTTGAAGGTCATTGTCAACTACTAATGAGTTCCAGACTAGACTGGGATACATGAGACTCTTATCTAAAAGAAAAGAAAAGAAAAGAAAAATCACCTGGGTATTATAAGATGTCCAAAATAACCCAATGTTTTAGCTGTTGGTTGCCATGACTTGTTATGTGTTTCTTTGCTCCTGTTGCTTTCCTGAAACCCTAGAAAGTGGGCATCCAAAGACTGTAGGCTTTTCCTGTATACAAGTCTGATCAAAAGGGACTGAATGAAGATGATATCTGACCTATGACATTTGGGGTCTGCAAAAGCTCACTGAACAGTTTATCAGTAGTAAACAGAAACTGAATTTCTAAGTGAGATGTTAACAATGGATCATATCTTAGTGAAAACGTTTGATCACTCTCAGGTTAGGGCTGCAGGGAACTATATGATGGGGAGGTAGAGAAATGTGATAAGAAGACTTTTCAAGAGGTCAGCCATTGGAGTGGCTTCATTTAGTGAGTGGGCGCCATTTCTAAGAACCACCATTGCTTTTATTTGTATAATAGTGTTTATGTTGCTTTTTGTCACTATGACAAATTGTAAGAAACAGCTTAGACCTAGTGAGAAGACTTATTTTGGCTCACAGCTTGGTAAGTTTTCTTCTATGGTCTGCTGGCTCTATTGATTTGGGCCTGAGGTGAGTCAGAACATTCTGATGGAAGAAGTGTGTGGTAGAGGGGGCTGCTCACCTGGTGGCCAGGAAACAACATTTTGCCTGTGTCCGGTTTCCTTCTTTCCCTGTATTCTGTCTGAGCCCAGCCTATGAGATGGTGCTGTCCACACTCAGGGTGGAAACACCCTCACAGACATACCCAAAGATGTGCTTTACTCACCTGGGTGTCTCTCAATGCAATCAAGTTACCAAGCTGATATCAGTGTTCTTTTATTCGGTTTATCTTACTTAAATTAATTTTGGAAAAAGTCTATGTTTCAGTATACACTGAAACACTAATATCACAAATAAATAGAAAGTATTCCTAAAAATATACGGAATGAAAATAAAATAACAATTAAATTTCTGCTACATATTGTTATTATTTGCTCAGAGCCGGAGATACACACTATCTTGGACAAAAACAGAGGTGTTAAAACATACTAGCGCCTAACTGAATTATTTCATTGTTACAGTAGACAGTTGGATGAAAAGTATGAGATGGCTCAGTACATGAAAGGGCTTGCCACTAAGCCTGATGACCTGAGGTCAACCCTGGGAACCCAGGTGGTAGAAGGAGAGAACTGATTCCCACAAGTTGTCCTCTGACCTTCCCACACATAAATAAATAAATGGAAAAAAATTAAAAGAAGGGGCTGAAGAGATGATTCAGTGATTAAGAGCATTGGGGGCTCTTGCAGAGGACCTGGGTTTGGTTCCCAGTACCACATGGCAGCTAAGAACCATCCATAACTCCAGTTCCAGGAAGTCTGACTCCTTCTTCTGGCCTCCATGGGCATTGCCCAACACATGTGCACTTATAGCCAAGCAGGCAAAACACTCATACACATAAATTAAAAATAAATAAAAGAAAAGCACAACAGAAGTGCTTCTTACTCTTTACAATGATCCGCTATCACCATGAACCAACCATCTTTGCCCGCCCACACTTTGCAAACCAGAGACAAAATGGCAGAAGACAGACCAGCAGTGAGGACTGCTACTTCACCCCTTTTTAACTTTGGGCAAGTAATGGACTCTTTTTGGTGTTCAGTCCCTTCATGTGTGTAGTGGAAAGGATAAGATCTTTGTAACTGTGTGACGGAGAGGTAAAACACATAAACTTACATAGTAAGCAATTGAGGTTTGACTGATTAAATGTCCCCCCAAGCACCCAGTTTCTTAGACAATGAAGTAAAAATAGCTTTACAAAATATGCAGATGATTCCTCCACTAACTTCTGGAAAAAAAGAAATAAAAACAAGAGATTAAACCAGTCTTCAAAACTAGAAAAGTAACCTCTATCCAAGAAAAACATACAGTTCTAAAGAGGAGAAAGAAAACTAGCCTATAAGGATGCCTGTAAAAAAGTAACCTCTATCCAAGAAAAACATACAGTTCTAAAGAGGAGAAAGAAAACTAGCCTATAAGGATGCCTGTAAAAAAGTAACCTCTATCCAAGAAAAACATACAGTTCTAAAGAGGAGAAAGAAAACTAGCCTATTAAGGATGCCTGTACCACTAGCCACCCAGTGACACATTGAATATCTCAAAGGCACTACAAACTGGGCATGCTCTAAACCCAAATCATCTTTGCCTTGTAAACCAGATCTTTGACTTCTGTTTCAATGAACAGGTGCACCACCTTTCCTTTGATATAAGCCAGAAACTCCCAGCTAGCCTGGAACTCAGTGTGTAGACCAGGCTGGCCTTGATCTTACAGAGATCTACCTGCCTCTGCCTCCTGAGTGCTGGGATTAAAGGTGTGTGTCACCGTGCCTGGCTAAGCCGTTCAGTTTTACCTTCACCTTCTGGATATCTCTTGAACCATCCACTTCTCCCCACTATCCCACCCTAGTCTAAGTTATTGTTGTTATGAGACGTGCTACATATCAGTTTAAAAAAGATAGTTTCTGGAGTAAAGTTCCCTTTATCCCTCCATTTCTAGTGATAAGCACACACTAACACTGAGCTACACCCCTAACCCTTGATGTCATTTATTAGGTGTGTGTCCTTGGGCAAGGTCATTAAACACTGTGTCTTGGTTCCTTCTTATGTGTAGTGGCAATGTGTACCTGCCTCCTGGACTGAGGGATAGATAGGGTGTTTGTTCATTCATTTGTCACCATGCTGGGGATGGAACCAGGGCCATGCACATACTAGGCAAGCACTTTATCACTAAATTACATCCCCACTCAAGGAGATAGTTTAAACAAGAGTTCAAAAGTGTTTTGTGCATAGTAAGCATTCAATATAGGTTAACTGATGTTTTTGTTGGTATTTATCATACAGTATAGACAATTTCAAGTATGTTCAAAAGTAGAGTGAATAGTGTAAAATTCTTATTGCAAATTATTTTTTGGCCTTGGATTCTGGAGACCAGCCTTCCTCCCTGACAAATAGCTCAGTCACCACTCATCAAAGAAGCTTCTTCTGCACCAGAGGCTATTACAGTATACTAGAACTGATCACACACAGACATTTTTTGTGAATTGCCCAAGTCTTAGTGGCACATCTACAATACAACCTCTACACCTAAGGCTCATGGAACACAGAACAAGGGGTAAAGAAGACAATAATGAGTATCTCAATTCTCATTAATGAAGCTCCCTCATGCAACAGAGGGCCAGGAGCACAAAAGGTCACAAATGGTCAAAGTGTAGAGACTAAGAGTCTGCACAATGCTGGTCCTTGGACAGGACTCCTATATTAAACTATACTCACCCAGGGCTCAGGGACCATTGCAAAAGAGGGAGCAGAAAGATTGTAAGAGCCAGGGAGGAGGTGTATTACCATATGGAAATAGAGTCCTACAAGCTTCTGGGACCCTGCTCATATGAACCTATAGCAATGGTGTCAGTATGCACAGAACCTACACAAAGTCAAACAGACAAAAACCCAGCCTAGAACTGGGGAAATGGACAGAAGACCCTAATCTTAGCTGAAGAAATATTGGCTAAGATTACTGCTGGGTGGGGAAGAGCTGATCTTCCTAAAGTGAGAGACTCTAGATAGGCTGACTATATCTCAGTAGATGAACTTGGACTGAGGGATGTCTGGGGACACTAACTTGACACAATAGGCCTTAAGACAAATGACAGAATGTATGAATTCCAGTGAGAGGGGTATGGGAGAGTGCCAGTGGGGAAGGAGGTATAAAGATGATTAAGATTGATTGAGATGTTCTATATAAAATACACAAAAATTCAATTAAAAAAAGAAAATTATTTTTATAGTTTGCTTGTTTGAATCAAGATCAGAATAAAGTATATATTTAAATTGGCCAATTTGTAATCTTTAATATGCATACCCCTACTCTCCTGAATTTCCTTGAAATTTTTTGTTTTGTTTTGTTTCTTTGGAAACAGTCTTTAAGGGTTTCACAAATTCTGATTTTGCTGATTGCATATGTGTTGTGTTACTGAATACCCCTCTGTCTCCTGAGATTTTTGTATATTTATAGGGAGATCCAAGAGCTTGATCGAGGGGCTGAGGGAATAGCCCAGTGGATAGAGTGCTTGCCTAGCATGAATGAGGCCCTAGGTTTGATCCTTGTAATCCCAACCCTTGGGGGGCGCGTAGGAGAAAGGCAGTCTGAAGTTCACGGCCATCCTTGGTTACTTAGCAAGTTGGAGGCCAGCCTGGGTTACATGAGACTCTGTCTCCAAATTGGTTAATTAGTTATCAAAAGTTTGATCAGATTTGTTTTTTCTTGTAAGTAAATTTCATAGATGACAGTAGTTGACCATCATTCTGTGATTTTCATTGCTACTAATGGTCATCACCTCATCTATTATTTATTAAGGATTTGATATTTGTAATATTGTAATATTCTTTTTTTAGTTGACATCTGGAAGACTTATCTGATAGGAGAAATCTTATATCATCATTTGGTTAGCCTGAGATACAGTTTGTATAGGAAAAAAAGAATAAAAACATGATCCTTTCTCCTAACTAATTTTCAATATAATTCATTCATTTGGTAGCATTCTTCCAAAGTGGCTGGGATTTTTTCTACAGGGATCATTGCAGAAGAAGAGGCAGAAAGATTGTAAGAGCTAGAGGGGGTGGATGACCACAAGAAAACAGTCTTCCAGACAGCTGGTCAGTTACTCATATGAACTCACAGCAACGGTGACAACGTGCACAAATCCTATACAAGCTCAAACCGGACAAAATCCCAACATAGACATGGGAAAGTGGGTGTGAAATTCCAACACAACCTAAGGAACTTTTGGCAATTGATGGTTGCTAGG